GTAAGAATTAAATGAGAACCACTGAAAGCAAAACAAAGTGCGGCACTGTGTTCTTTAAAACATGAGCAGCAAATGATCCAGTGTTTGCCGTGGCTCGGAGAGGCTCAGTCCACAGTAAAATGCTGCTCTACATGAACTCCATCTCTGCAAGTGCCTCGAGTTTGGGTCACTTATAACATGCATATATCTTCATGATCCACTGCAAATCCACATTTAAAAGCTGATATTTAAAAAAAAAACTAGTGCAAAAACATGTGAACTGATACACTATTGTGGTACTCAATATATTTTCCCAAGGTTGGCAGGTCAGTTGATGTGCACTTGATGATAGATACTATTGTTTAGACACAAGGCCATTGCTGAAAGATGCAGTATCTCTAACAAAGAACCCAAATGGCGATGCCAGATTGTCCTTAGTGACACCTTTCCCCTTTGTGCCCTCATCTCTTTCTTACAGATTAATGTCCATGAGAGGAGGAATATAAAAAGACAAACAGCTGTGAAAAGAATCCCCCCCACACCTGTCCACCTGTGTCTCCCTGCGTCTGTCTCATCAATCCATCACATTCCCACTCCATCAATCAACACCAGTCACGATGTCATCATAGTGCGTCAGTCTGTCTGTCTGTCTGCACTGGAGCGGGTAGCTATTCACTCCCTGACTGACTCCAGGCCTATCTGCATGTGTGTGTGTTTCCTGTTCCACATCTTAACAAATGAACATAATGAATTAAAAGAATTAGATCTGTATCAGGTGCTACAATCCGAAAATGACTTCCCCATCTAATTTAAAGAGATTGGATTGCTGATTAGGCCATTAATTGGTATTTCAGAACTCTTGCAGTATTCCTAAATGAGATTTCAGAAGGGTCTATCTATCTATCTATCTATCTATCTGTCTGTCTATATAATATATATATATATATATATATATATATATATATATGTCTGTCTGTCTGTATATATATATATAATATATATGTATGTCTCTATCTGTCAATATATCTGTCTGTCTGTCTGTCTATCTGTCTGTCTGTCTCTCTCTCAATTAACTTAAATGATTTTAGCAAATGGCTGCAATATAACAAAGAGTGAAAAATTTAAGGGGGTCTGAATACTTTCCGTACCCACTGTATATATCTGTCTGTCTCTCATCTATCTATCTATCTGTCTATACATTAATGTCTGTTTTATGAAAAAAAACATTTTTGTATCTTTATTTCTGAGTAAGTTCTAATGTTCCTGTTATAGCAAGAACTATTTAAAAAAATGCAACTGTAGTATCATTTTAGTAGGAGAAAATTTATATTCATGCAGCTTTCCATACAATAATCTTGTTTTTTTTTGTTAAGAAATTATTTTTATCCAGCAAGGACACATTCATTTGGTCAAAAATTACAGTGAATACATTTATATTGTTACAAATCATTTCTGTTTCATATAAATGCTGTTATTTCAAACTTTCTGTTCATCAAACACTGAATGTATAACGGTTTCCTCAAAATATTAAGTAGCACTAACTGTAGCAGTACACTGTAAAAAAAATTCTGTAGTTTTTACAAAATAATTTTTCTGGGAATATCAGTTTACAGGTTTTTTGTTTATTTGTTATTTTTACTTCTAAAAACTGTAAAATTAACAGCATTTTACTGTAAAATTACATGAAATGTCTGGTTAGATATTTTACAGTTTTGCCCTGTATATAGTACGGGAACTTACTGTTAACCTATTAACAGTTTTTTCCCGTAGCGTTTTTACAAAATTTTACAGTTAAAATTACACTTATTTTTTACAGTGTAGTTGTTAAGTAGTAGTAACTGTTTTCAACATTGATAATAATTTCTGAAGGGTCATGTGACACTGAAGACTGAAGTAATGATGCTGAAAATTTAGCTTTACATCACAGGAATAAATTACATTTTAAAATATATTAGAATAGAAAACGGTTATTTTAAATTGTAATATATTTCACAGTATTACTGTTTTTACTTGGTTGAGCATAAGAGACTTCCTTCAAAAACATTTAAAACTTTTGAACGGAAGTATAATGAAACAGCAATGTCACTTAATTATGATCTAGATAATTATTAAATATTAAAAGAATCCAACTACAGTCTCTGCCAGAAAGTGCAGTGAGTGCTTGTACATCAGGGTGTGATCCTGAAGACACATTTGTGGGAAAGTGTGAGGGGTTTTGATGGAGGTACAGTAATGCAGTTCATTCTCAGTTAAGCTCAGAAGTAACATATGTGCAGTATGTGAGGCTTGTTGCAAGGATGCCTTACCTCTGATGTTCCTGTCTGTTTGCTTGTAGGGGTGAAGCGTGGTGTGTGCTCCCAGATCAACCACTTCCCAGAGGACGCTGACTTTGATCATGATGGAGCAGAATACGTCCTGCGTAAGAGGCTGCCCTTTATTACAACAAAAGACTTTATCATGACAAAGCATTTCTGCAGCATGAATGAAATGCAGCTACAGCACATGTCTTTGCCTTGTTAAAGAAACAGTACACCCCAAAATAAAGCATTTGCACTATTTACTCATTCTTGTTTAGTTTTAAATCCTTAGGCTTTCTTTCCTGTTTTTAAGTAACATATTGCAGATCCACAATAATTCTGCAAATTCAATCCTATGCTTCATATCCCCTGAAATGCTCCAAGGCATTTCTGTGCTACAGTTTCCTGTGTGCACGTGTGCATGTCACACGCATAAATGCATGCATGCACCCAGGTTGGCATTTTGGTTGGTATTTAGATGGCATTTCCTTGCTCTGTCCCAGCTTGACTGGTCCCAGATGGGATGCCGAACTGCCAGGGGAACATTTTTCCTCTGGGGCTTTTTCATACACAGTGCACAACAGCATAATTTAATTACTCAGGTGCCTCATTTTAGCTTAATATTTATGTCTAAAAATGTGGCATGGAGATAAGAATGCACAGTGTCAAAGACCTGAACAGAATTGACTCGCCTGCACTCATCATGTCTCACGCTTCTAATGCTCTCCGTCTCTCACCCTCTCCCATCTGTCTCTCTACTCCGCTATTCTCTCTTTCCCTGCAGGAGTGGTCCGGGCCTCCAACATCTTTCCCATTCTTAGTGCCATCCTGCTGCTAATGGGAGGAGTCTGTATCGCAGCCAGCCGTTTCTACAAGAGCAAAAGGAACATCGTGCTGGGGGCTGGCATTCTGTTTGTAGCGGCAGGTAAAGTGTGTGCATTGTGTGTACAGGCATTGGTCCAGGAGTAAATGTCAAATTACATCTAATATTTACCTATACTAGAAAAATGTCTCATACACTGTGGTGTCCTAAAGTATTAAATCTGGGATTTAAAAAAATAAATAAAATTAAACGTGAATTAATGCATACATGGAAAAATCTGTCAATTTAAATATTTATAGTTTTAATATAATAAAATATATGTGTATCTTATATTGCATGTAAGATGCACGATATTATATTATATTATTTCCCATTTTTATTTATGCATTTGGCAGACACCTTTATCCAAAGCAGCTTACACTGCATTCAGGATGCACATTTAATTTTAAATTTACTTTGGATAAAAGCATCTGCCAAACTCAAATAAAAAATGGGAAGTAATCTTATAATTAAATGTGTATCTAGAATGCAATATAATACATATATTATATTATAAATTATTTTAATATAATATGACAACAGAAAACACCACAAAATGCTATAAAATGCTAAATAAAATATTACAAAAAGTCTTTAATTGTATGTCTGTACAGAATGATCCACAATATTACTGTAAAATGTAAAACATTTTATCGGATAAAACCTAATTGCCAGATTGGACTGTGAATGCTTCAGAATCTTTTTTTTTCTGTATTTCTCTGTACCTGAGAGTTTTGATCAGTTGGCATGTTTTTGATCATTGATCTTTAGGCCTGAGTAACATCATTGGTGTGATAGTGTACATTTCTGCCGCTCTGGGTGACATTTCCCCAAAGAAGGATGAGGATAAGAAATGGCAGTACTCCTACGGCTGGTCCTTCTACTTCGGCGGGCTGTCCTTCATCCTGGCTGAGATGGTGGGCGTGTTGGCGGTAAACATCTACATCGAGAAGAACAAGGAGCTCCGCTGTCGCTCTCGCACCGATATCTTTAAGAGCACCACTCACGCCATGCTACGGCTCCCGAGCTACCGCTTCCGCCGCAGATCACGTTCCAGCTCTCGATCCACAGACCCCTCGCGCTCACGAGACCCCTCTCCCGTGGGCGGCCCACCGGGGGGGAAGAACTTCGGAATGCCCCCATCTGCTTTACTCTCTCAGGGGCCCATCTCTGTGTCCACTCTACCCAACCCTCACTCCCGCTCCGCTCTGCCAGGGGGCGATATTTCCCTTTACACCCTCTCCCGAGACCCCAAACTGGGTGGTTTGGGAGGGCTGGGCGCCCCTCCGCTGTACGGCACGGTGGACCGCGCCACGCTATACCAGCTGCACAACTGCTTCCCGAAAGAGAGCGGAGGGGGCGGAGGAGGTATGATGATGAGTGGGACGCTGCCCTCGCTCAAACCCCACAATCCCTCAGTCGTCCAGAATTCTTCCAACTCCAACGCGCCGCTCAGCAACTCCGTCCCGTCCTCCCAGCCTCCACCTTTCTCCTCCTCTACGGTGGAGCGGGAACGAGGGATGGGAACGCTGGATAGGCTAGGAAAAGTTGACAGAGAGAGCAACTCCAACACGCTAAATAGGAAAACTACACCAGTGTAGACAGATAGAGGGTTGG